GTCCCGGGGCTCGAAATTCGCAGGGTAGGAGGGGGTAGTGACGCTGGGTGTAACTAAAAAGGTGCCATTGTCCGGTGAGGTCCGGTTGGGGAGTTACGGAACGATCTCATATCGCATAATCTTATTAACTGTTTATCTCCTGATCTGCAACTTTCTTTACCACGCAACACCAATCCCGCCGTGTAGTCAATTTCACTGGTTAAGGTTAGGGTCAGGTGTGGGGTAGGTTTAGGGGGTTAGCATTTTTGTAGCATAATGTAGGAAGTCAACACTTTAATTGACACAACCAATAAAATCTTTAGAAATCAGCTGTGACGCAGAGTTTGCACTGAAGTGGATTGGGGGAAAAATTGCGCATGTGTGTGTCTGTCAATGGGAGGAAGCCACGCCCTATTTTGGAGCTCCCACCCCGTTTTGGAGTTCCCGCCCCCATTTGGAGATCTCCGCGCTGCAGCTATTCCCTTCTCGATTAACCGGTGGGAAAATTTCCTCACTGTCACAACCCTACTTGAAAGTACCATTACCAAATGTTTTCGTGATGATTTATTAAATTTTTTATTTATTAATCAATTTCCCCCTCTCCTCCGAGACTATTGGGAGAGTAACCCGATATTAAGTTAACTGTATATGAACAACATAACTGTATGTGATACCCCTAGTGACCTGTCTGTTGTGTTCTTTTGCATGTGTTCTAGGGTTGTAACGATATACCGGTATGACAGTTTATCACGGTTTGAACGTGCACGGTTATCATACCGTAAACATTTGCATAGCTACGGTTAAAAAAAAATGAATGAAAAAATCTGAAATAAAGGATTTGCTTACTCAAATAACTTGTTCTTGTTCTTTTAAGAGTCATTGTTACTGATAAGAATTATTATACCGTGATAACTGTGACATTTTCTGAGACGATTATCATACCGCGAAAATCTCATAATTACAACCCTAATGTGTTCCACTAAGAGCATAAAAACAAAAAAGGTTTTTAAAAAAATCTTTCTAACTCAAAACTTTTGAGTGCTACTGTACATATGAATTAATTCACAATATGTACCTGATTCAGCAAACAGCTCATACGGTAGGGTGAGTTTGCCTTTGGGCTCCTTCAGCAGTGCCATGGTAACACAGCAGCAAAACCTAAGAAGTTCCATTTGACTGTGTGACCCAACACAAACATTGCAAAATACTAGAGCCAGTCCAGCCCAGTCCTCCTGATGCTTCAGCATCTGGCCACACACACACACACACAAATTATACTGAAAATAATGGCATTTTTATGTTAATGGCAGTATATAGAAATGAAAATGGAGCAAACAATGTATATACGTCTACAGAAGTATTATGGAAAATGAAGTAGTGATCTTACCTCAACTCTAACAACAGCCTGGGCCAGATCTGACAGCTCGGAGGTATGGGGATTAGTTACCAGAGCTCTACAAATATAACAACATGTTTGTGTGACATCATATGATGATTTCACTGTAATGTAATAAGATAAAACAACAAAGTGCAATAATGCAAATGCTCTGCTGTGGGAGGGTGCATACCTGCATTTAACAGCAAGGAAAATGTCCATCTGCTGTCTAGGAACCTGCATCATTTGGAGATGATTCTGCATGACCTCACACTGATCCACACTGAATACACATCCTGCTTCGACAACCTAAACATACAAGCACACATTAAATGGACGTTAAAGCTAATCTGAAATAAGATGCAATAGGGCACCATCTCTTAACTCCATATATATAATACTGTGATCCGATGCTTTGAATGTGAGCATTACCTTTGAAGTGAGGTGAATGAGCTCAGGTACGGAGTTAATCAGCCCTCTTTCCATCACAAGTTTAAAAACGGCTAACATAATCTCAGGTGGAGGCTGACATAAGAAATAAATAAGTAAAAGTATTATATATCTAAAATTAAATTCCAAAAAAGCAAATGATTCCAAGCAACCACACTTACCAGCCTCTTGTGTTTGAGAAGCAAGTTAATGACTGCCTCAAATTCTCTCAGCAAACAAAAATTAAGGAGAGACGACAGCAGAGAATTGACAATCTCCTCGCTGAAACTCACGCTGGGAGAACAACTGCTGTAATATCCCATAAACACCTCCACTTCACATAGGAAGACAGACAGAAAAGCCATTCAGTCAACCTGGGATTATTCATCAGCATAATTGCTTTAATAAAGTCCCGTTACCTGCTCGTAGAATAAGAGCATGTTTCCCAGTATGACAGAACTTCTTCACTGTATCAATGCAGAACTGAAACATAAAAAACAAGCCTCAAGACAATCATAGCCTACAAACACATGACTCAGGCGCAACTTGCACTCGTACAAAAAAAAAAACACTGAACCCGAATGACATTATAACACACACCTTTTCATCTCCATCTCTTGGTACGTGTGGGAACCAACAGACACTTCGCATGCAGGAGTTATATTCACTAAAGTAGAACCAACAATACTGAAGACACAGAGAGAAGTTTGGTTGGAAATGTGCTATTATGTAGATAATCCATTCAAAAGCAGTAAAGTCATGGTGGAATGAATATAATAGCTCTCTCATCTATCCATGTCGCAGATGGAGTATACTCACATTACTGTTTAAAGTTCTCAAAGTGGAAGTCTCTTTTGGAGTCACTTCATACCCTTGGACATAAAACAGAATGTGACAGTTTTGCTTAGATTAATTATTTGAACACATACATACACTCAATTCTTAAGCAAAATTATAAACATTTCAGGTAGATTAATCTCAGATTTTCTATATTTAAAGTGCCACAGAACCAGTTGATGTTTGTTTTGGACCTACCGTTGCTGCATGTGTCCATCACAAGTCTTGATTCTCTTGTGTTTGTTACTGTAATACCATTTGTTTGCCTCATCTCTTGGTTGTTATTGCAGTCTGTGGCATTCTGCAAGAAGAAGATATCAAATATCAACCCTCAGCTCATCACAATGTGTTCAGAACAACAACAAAAAATATAATTGTAAAAAAAAAATATATATATAAT